GGGGGGGGGGGGGGGGGGGGGGGGGGGGGGGGGGGGGGGGGGGGGGGGGGGGGTTCTACAACTGCCATTTCGTCAAAATGGGCATCTTTAATTTTTTGAACGAAATTGAAACCGAGTTTTTTGGCCGAAAAATCGTCAAAATTTGTTGTTCCTGAAGGTTCGGCGTCTGTAAAACGCTGGACCCTCAAGAACAACAAATTTTTACGAGTTTCGGCCAAAAAACTCCGTTTCAATTTCGTTCAAAAAATAAAAAATGTCCATTTTGACGAAATGGTCGTTCTACCTAAATTTCAACACCAGAGGAGGGACGCATATAAAAAGTTCTAAATCCAAAAGTGATTAAAGTGGCAATCACCACCAGAGGAAGGAACGACTGATGACATCGACTGCAACAACAACACCAGCAATCGCATCACCAACCATACATACATCAGCGGTGGCGACGATGACAACAACAATAGCAGCAACAACAAGAACAAGGACAACACACGCGACGCCAACTATACAATCTACATCGGCAACGATGTCGGCAGTGGCAGCAGCGGCGATGATGACGACAACAACACCAACAACAACTACAACGACGACGACGACGACGCACGCGACAACAACAACAACAACAACATTACGCCAACGGTGTCGGCAGTGGCAGCAGCGACGATGACGACAACAATAACACCACCACCAACAACAACAACGACGACGACATATGCGACAACAACGACAACAACAACAACGCTTCCTCGATTTCTCCCCCCATTTGTAAAGGGTTTTCCTTTGCATTCTTGGTCTTTTGTCATCCTTCAGGTAGGGGTGGGGTAACTATTCATCAACAGTTTAAGGGGATTGTCGGCCCTTCATTCCTAATTACCGGGTGCTTTGATAGGCTAGATAGGTTTGTAGTTATGAAGGTGGGTGGTTAAGGTGGGCACAAGACCATGGGGTGGCCCCCTCACGTACCTTGTGATGCATTAGGGTTATAAGGGCAGCAGAATAATCCTCCCCTGGTATGGGGGAGTAATCAATGTCTCTGCATAAACGATATACACAATCATGATTAGTTTATATTGGGATGGCCACGTTAGGGTTATAAGAGCAGCAGGTTAATCCTCCTGTGGTATGGGGGAGTAATCAATGCCTCGTCTGCGTAAACGATATACACAATCATGATCGGTTTATATTGGGATGGCCACGTGGCCTATCTGCACGATTTTCATTTCATCATATCATTGTACAGGGACGCTAGACCCAATTTCCAGCAGGTGCTGCTCCAGTGCTCCCCACCAATAGATGGAGCCTTCGCTGCAGGGGTCACTTGATGAGGATGCTCTTATCACCTCGTCAAGTGGACTTCCTGCCATTGAAGTTTGCAAAAAAAAAAAAAAAAAAAAAAAAATCATTACCTACCCTGAATAGCTCATCAAACACTAAAAAACCTTACAGTGCGATGAGGAGGAGAAGCAGTCAGAGAAGGTAGCCAAAACAGGTGAGTTATGCAGAAAACATCAAAGAAAAGGAAGATCCTAGGTTGGGGGCGAGATTTCATCTATATCAATTAGTGTCCCCCTCCAGATACCAAAAGAGGGTAGAAATAAGAGCATCCTCAATCCTAAGCCCGATGTCCTATCCTGCGATCCTCCCTCCCAAATCCCACGGAAGCGCCATATCAAATTATCGTCGATGATCATCAATGTTCATCAATCATGAATGTATTTACATTATAAGGGACGCTGGGCCCGGTTCCCAGCACGTGCAGCTCCCCACGAATAGATTGGAGCAATTAAAAAAAAAAAAAAAAAAAAAGTATATCACCCATACGAGCAGCGCCAGATACTCATCAGCATGCGCTTAAATATCCCCTCCCCAAGAGGCCTACCCCCACCGATCAGTAGGTGCATCCTGGAGAATGCTAGCATATCACCTGCAAAAAGGCGATCGCTCCCGTCCAAGTCAGTGTTGTTGTTGTTGTTGTTGTTTTTTTTTTTTTTTTTTTTTTTAAACATCACCTCATGGCTACCGATAGGAGTGATGATAAGTGCATACACTCCTACCGACTCCATGGGGAGCTCCATTCTATTGGTGGGGAGCTGCACCTGCTGGAAAATAGGTCCAGCGTCCTTTGACATACAATGCTCAGACACTGCGACTGAAAGTGTTGGGAAAAGGGCCCAACGTCCCTCGTACCTCTTCACCCTCACCTGAGTGGCGCCAAATTTTTCAGATAAGCCCTGGTACCAAACTGGAAAAATGATACTGATGATTTGTGATGACTCGAATGAGGGATCTGGAAACTCTGAAGGAGGGCGCAGAGGGACTGATGAGTCCACACTAGTCCAATCCTGAAATGACAGACGAAAATCTCTTGGTATTTCCTCATCTTGTCCTACCCTTATACCTCTCTTGCCCCCCCCATCTCTGATCTATCCAATCTTCCCTCCTTGGGGTCCCCCTAGCCAAGCGTCACTGAACTGTTCAATGTGCTGATAGATTTCGTTTTTATATGATAGGAAATGAATTCTCTCTTTCACTTTTTTCCATTGGATTGTGATGTCTGTCTGCACTTGAAGTTTGATTGCTTCTATTATTTCAGGGCCATCAATCCTTGCTCCTTCCATCTCGAAAGTACAGCAACGGTTCCAGAGGGCCCAAAGAATGACCCTTCTTCCAATTCTAAATAAGTTGTGGGAAAAATCATCTAGTGGAGCTAGAGACCATGTCTCACAGACCAGCCTGAGGGCTCTCCAGTCCCATGGCCAAGGTAGCTGAGTATTGAGGGAAGTCCAAATCCTATCCCACCAGCGCCATAACACACCACGCCTGGACATTGCAGGAAGATGTGTTCTATAGTCTCTGGAATTCTCCTACTTGGGAATGATGAGATGCATAGCTTACATCACGGATGAGCAAGACCTTTTTCTTCCAGTGATGTTTCTGTCCATAAGCTAGTCATTCGTGGGAAGGCAACGATGGTCGATTTGTCATTGAAGAGCGGCGATCTTTGTTGGCCCGATCTTTATTGTTTTGAACCACTTGATATTCCTGATATCTTCCTTGCTCACATTTAGGTGTTTCATCCATCTGCTTTCAACCCGATCTCTCAAATTTAATTTAGGTCTCAGCAATCTATAGGTTGATTTGATTGTTAGTGAGTGTAAAGTACGCGTACATTTTCTGCTACTCCTTCCTGGTACCGTCCATGTCCAGTAGGTTAGTCAAAAGTCAGTTTATTAATTGGACATGCAGGTTTGAAGGCAATCCAATGATCCTTTTGTTCCAGAACTCTGATTCTGAATACTTGTTCCCTTTCTACCCATCTGGTTTCGTTGGTAAAATATTGTTTTATCTGGTAGCTCTGGTTGATTGAAAAGATTGAGAGTAAAATTGCTCTTCCATTGTTCACCAATATCACATTTCTTATTTGCTGGGGGTTCCCCTGGATACCCACCCAATCGCCTTCTTTAACTTGGGGACCCTTCCTGAAAATTCTTAACCATGCTATCGGGATGACTTCAGTAATTGTTTCGAATGCACTTGCTGTTCCCCTGCAATATCTTAGCCTTGGCAAGAGGCTGGAGAGTTAATGCCAGTCCTTCATTTCTGGGCACCAAATGTCCCCTACCCTTAGTAAACTGTTATTTACCTAACCTTTCCAGGGGGAATCTGAGCAGTGGAACATCCTGCCCTGTGTATCAGTGATCCACCTGTTATTGAACAAGGGTTGTTGGCAGACTTCCTCCTATCTGTTTGGAGCAATTTTGCCCGGTAAGGACAGTTTACGCCACGTTCTGAGGAGATCTATCCAAAAAGGGTCATTTCTTATGTCCATCCTTGTGGCTTGACGATGAGAATCCACTGGCTGATCAACATGCTGTGCTCTGCCCCTAGGTATGGGCCAATAGCGATTCTCTAACCATGTCAGTGAATCAATCTCACTAGGTACTTTTGGGGCTAATCTCGCGATTTGTTCTTCTGCTAGAGCTAACCAGAGGGTCTCCAGATTAAAAAGTAGCCTTTTAATCCATTGAATAGAGAGGGTCATGGCTTGGGTAGAGGGGTCCAATAAACCAAGTCCTCCTTT